GTTTATGATACTTTAAATAAGACAGGGCATTGTTAGATTTTTTCCTCTTTCTTTCTTATATTTTTTTTCCTGTTACATCCTATAGCAAATCGAGCACATATGAATTTTTGGACAGTGTTTTTAGTGAAAAACATGATATCAGACAGTTCTTATGTCTTCTGGTTCACCAATGTATGTGTTGGTTCTTCATGCGAGGTTTCATTCAGTAAGACTTTTGAAAGCAACTTGCAAAGTGTTTTTTTCAAGAACTTGCTTGTTACTGCTTGTTTCAAGGTGAAGAGGTAGGACACTAGAATAAAATTCCCTATTCTCATCCTGTAAATAGACTCCCAAGGCTTTGTAAAAATACTCACAAGTCAGTAGGTTCAGCAGAAGAGCCTTGGTAACATTGTTGATGCCTACTAATATTTACAGCACAGTTTGTTTTCTCGTTTTGGGAGCGGTGGAACAGACCCTCTTAATGTGCTCAGGCATAAGATGTGTTTGGAGTTTGCTGGCCGTGAGCCTGCACTCAACCTTGATTCTTCATTCCCTGTGCAGACAGGCACAACTGAGTAATGTTCTCTGTGATAAAAAGCAAGAATTGTGCAGCAAGATGCACTTTGTAGTAGTGGTCCTTCTTCTCTGAGCCTTCTGATGACCATCAGTGCTGTTTCTAAAGCTGTGTGAAACTTGCTTTTTTTCCAGAAGGTGCACAATGTGTTTGTGGCTATCTCATATAGACGTAATAAACTTGATTTCATTGCCTGCGTTTGTGTTATATTAAAAGCAAATACAGCCCCCAGCCCAATATATCATAGAAACTGAATAACAAGTGAGGCTTTTTAATAAATGCAAAAATCTTTACATATTTTATTCTGCATATTCCCTAGTAAGGACTTTACAACCTAAACAGTACCAAACAGCTATGTGACTATCTGCTAATTTTGGTTCCACTGATGAAGTAAAAATAAAAACCCAGTCAGCTGGATTGACTTGAAATACTTTCTGCTATTGCAGCTATTTTCATCTTATTTTCCTTGAAAATAAATCAACAGAAATGGATGTGCATTTCATAGCAAGACACAAAAATATTTCAGATAATTCAAAATGCAGTATTTGGTATTTCAGCACTTCCAGTAAGAGCCATAAAAAAATGGGGTCTATCCACAAGGATGTCTGTGCTACCACTTCTTTTCCTCAGTAATGCAAAATATTGCAAGTAGAGATTCGTTCAAGTAGCAATGCTGTACCTGCCATAGTGGTACTGTCAGGTGGATTGCTCATGGCTTCTTTTTCTTTTCTTTTGAGGAGTCTCATTCAGGCTATGTGGTGATGCCAAAGTTAGCTCAGTATAACACATCGTGGCAGAGTATGTTGGTATTCATGTGCAGTGCTCAGAACTGATTGGGAGTTCTGATCTGAGTTGCCTTTGGGCAATACAGATAAAACCTTGGAGTCACTGATGGAACCACTTCCCCAAGAAGAAAGTACAACTCAGAATAATAGTGTGTGTGTCAAAAAATTGTCAGCCACCTTGGAATGGCACGTTTATTTTGCTGTACAGATAATTTACCCCTTCAATTCACCAGGCTGTGTCTGAAAATTGGACTCATCTAGCTCTGCCTGGGATGGAAAACAAGCAAACGTAAAGTTTGTTGGCTGTGATTCCCTTCAGATTATAAAAATAGTCTGAATAATTTATGCTTCTTTGGAAATGCGCCTCTCAAGATGGCTGTTTCAAAATCCACATTTTGTTTTGGACTTTTATCATTAAAAACTTGACCTTCAATTTCTTCTTCTGTATCTTCATGGCGTATTATCACAGTATTGTTTAGATACAATGCAAAACTGACATGCCAGAACTGCTGTAAGAATATCAAAGAAAGATGTGGTTTTGTTTCATTTGGTTTTGTTAGCTAACTTCATAGTTGTGCCATACATAATAAATGTT